TTGAAGTAAGAAGTAGGGAGGTACTTGGCAAGTATGTCCTGAATGTCCATCGCTTAGGCAGGCACCTATTCACACATTTATTACCATAATGCCGTCAATGGTGTCCTGATCGCTTACGGCTATTACATCTTCACATTAAGTCCAGTTTCCAACATTTGCCACGCAATTTCGGTGCAAAAGTTGCGCTCGGAAGTATGAGCCCGCTGTACTGACTGATAATAAATTCAACGGGAAAGGAACCAACATGTGCCCTCCATGTGACAAGGATTAAACGCCACGGCTCCATCGTCCCGCTGCTGGGCTGAAAATCCGTGTTCCTAGCAATGCACCAGACTACTCCGCCTCGAAAAGAATGCATCTTTCGCGTTTTCTTTTTTTCTCATCTTTTGTTCCTTTTCCTTTTCCTCTTCCTTTTCCTTTTCCTTTTCCTTTTCCTTTTTCTTTTTCTTTTTCGTTCTCTTTTCTCTTTTCTCCTTTTTCCTTTCCCTTTCTTGCTTCCCCCTATCCCACCGCCTTCCGTGAGCTGCACCCCGGCGTCAGACACACCTTGGTCCCATTTCGAGAACACAGCGTCAGGGTCAGCTTCTCCTCCCAGGGACCCGGGTCCCGGCTTTCCAGTCCGGCAAACTCTTGAGCGATGCGCACGGTTACGTACGAAACTTCTGTCAGGGCGTACTGCTGACCCGGACACACTCTGGGCCCGCCGTTGAAGGGTAGATACTCCCACCGTGGTAAGAGCTTTCCGCTCTCCCACCGCTCGGGACGGAACTCGTCGGCGTCGGGCCCGTAGAGGTCCGTTCGGCGGTGCATAGCATATATGCTGTAGAAGACTCGCGTGCCCTTGTGAACAAAGACAGGCGATTTCCCATCGGGCCCGCCGCCGACTGGCAGGACCGTGTCTTTGAATGCTTCACGGCCGTTCACAGGCACAACAGGATGGATGCGCAATGCTAGAACGAGGCGCCATTAGCGTTACGCTTTCCACAAACCAGCAGGGGGCCCACCGTTGCATAATGGTGCATGCAAAGTGTTCATCTCGCCTTACTTACATTCATTCATGCAGCACTTGAGGTACTTGAGATTTCGCAGCTCCTCGTATGTCGGTTGTCGGCCTTCCAGACCAGCTACCTCGGCTTGCAGCTTGGCCCACGTGTTGGGGTTCTTGGCCAGCATGAAGAACATGTTGCTCAGCAGGCTAGCAGTCGTGTCGCGGCCAGCAAGCAAAACGTTCATGAGTTCATCCAGAACGCGACGCTTGTCGGAGGTCCGGCGGGCCAGTTCGTGAGAAAAGACGTACTTGGCCGGCTTCTCGTCTGGAGGCTGGCTTTCCTGGTGGTTCTGAACCGCTTCGAAAGCCTTTTCGACAAAGTGCTGCGCCAGCTTTCGGCAAATCTGGTTGCATTTGCTGGCTTTGGGGTCTCTGCGGAACATGTCGAGCGAACCTAGGATGCTGCGCATCCGAATGGCATCCTGGGCGTAGTTGAAGGCCTCGGCAAAGCTGATTTCGCCTTCTGGAAGGTTCTTCAAGCTGCCAACGGATTGGCCAAACAGAAAGTCGGTTGCCGAGTCAATTGTGTAGCGGAAAAAGATGTCCTGCAGGTCGACAGTTGTCTTTCCATCTCTTGGAATCAGAGCAAAAAGATCAGGGATCAAGCGCTCAAAGGTGGCCAAGTCGGCGACCTGGTCCCGGTTGAAATTGGGTCGGATGAGGGCGCGGGAATCGTGCCATCGTTGGCCGTCCGTGTCAAAGATGCCAGCGCCGAGCAAGGGCTCGAATTGCTCGAGACGATGGCCGATGCCGTAGTCGTTGAACTTGAGAGCGAGGATGGTCTTGATGTTGTCGGGTTCCATGGTCATGATGGTGTCTTGCAGCAACAGCCTCGATCGGAACGTGTTTCCGTATTGCTTGAAACGCTGCGCACCTTGTTCGAGGGCCGTGTGCTCCTTGAAAGCACGCCATTGCTTCCGAATCATGTCGAGACCCAGGATGGGTTCCTTGGCGGCATTGTTGACAATGGGTTTGCAGCCATGCTGTCTGGCAAGACGACGGTGTCGAAGAAAGACTTGGAGCTTGTTGATGAAAACAACGAGCACGGCGATGCCGGCAACCAGGAAAAGGAGCCGTCGCGTCGAGCTGGTGTCTGACAAGAGTTGCATCATGTTTGGCTTCTATGGTGGGCCGAGGCTACTGACGGAGCTTGCTGGACTCTTGAGAGGACAGACGCAAGACATGGCGGCGGAGGTGGACGACTTTAAAGGACCTGGACGGGATGACGACCGGTCGGCGCCAAGACGCGGCATGCGGATCGGCTTTCGGCGGTTGCGCCGGCACTCACTCGAAAGCCCGAGCCCGGAAAGACCCAAGGGGCATTCGACTGGAGCAGTTCCACGTTGCATCTGGCGGTGGTGTTCTTGGTGTTTGATAATTCGGGACTATCTGGCCGCCACCCGGTTCCGGCTCGTCAGAGAGACGTCAACTGCGGCAAGTGCAACGGCAACGGCAACTGCAAGTGCAACTGCAAAGGCGGCAACCACATCCGTGGCCGCGCTGGCTCGGATCCGCGCCCAATGAGCCCGCCCGCTTCGCCTCGGCAAAGGAGAAGACAGTCAGACATGCCGAGGTCTGCTCGTTGCAGTCAAACCTCCGCAAACGATGCGTGGCCACACAAAGACAGCAAGAAGGCAAGCAAGCACGCAAGCAAGAGGGCAAGCAAGCACGCACGCACAAACGCACGCACGCAGGTTAAGGCGTGGTGTCTGCAATGTGCATCTGTCGACAATGCCCCAGCTACCACAAAAGATGGATGCCCGAATGCCCCCAGCATCAAGTTCCCCAATCCCAAATTCCCACGCGCCTGGCCTCCATGCCTGCACGTGCCCAGCCTGCCCGGTTCCTGCCCGGTTCCTGCCCGGTTCCTGCCCGGTCCCTGCCTCCCCGGTCCCTGCCTCCCCGGTTCCTGCCTCCCCGGTTCCAGCCTGCCCAGCGCCTGCCATGTTTGCTTCCCATGTTCCTCTGCCTGCGTATGTATCTTCCTCACGGATCCTGGCTGGTTCCAGTCTGCTCTCGTACTCGACACCAATCAAGCTCAACACCACGCACCACTCATCACTCATCATCGCTCAGCGTCGCGGCGCATCCAGCGTCAAACTGCCCAAAGCATCGAATTCTCGTGCAGCTCCCGCCCGTCGTACAACGACAGCAAAGACAGCCCCAGACGCCACCGGAGCACAGGAAGCACAGCGTCATCTTGCGCTCGGGCCGCATGAGGCCCAGCTTCGGCTCATATTGATCGTCTCGCTCTTTTTTACGTCCGCGTTAACTCCCACGGCTGGCCGGGCCCTTCGTGACGACGTCCTGTGCGACGCCGGGCGACCATTGTCGTGCCAAATGCGACTCGTAGCACTCACCATACCGTTGATAGTGTGCTGTTTACCTCTCATCCCCTCCGCTACGGAGAGTCTCGATTCAGACTGGGACGATGCCGAGTCGAATTACCTGCCATGTCCGTTGGAGCAAAAGTGAAACGCATATCTTGAGCCCGTAACGTCACTTCGGTCCCTAGTCATGCATGCATTCGAATGCGACGCCGTCGAGTCGTCACGACCACTAAGGACGGGGCATCTAGTCGGTGTGAAACTCCAAGTGACGTTGAATCAAGAAAAATAAGATTGAATGCAAAGGAAAATGTAGAAGGACACCTGTGCGAGCATGCCGTTGGACGACGATCACTAACGCCTGGTAGATCAAGTTCTGGGCCCTTTACGGTGGCGAGATTGCGTAGATAGGTAGGTATGCACTCACTTTGAAGATGGGGCTACATACCATGTACCTACTTCGTACACAACCTGGTCTTTCTTTTCTCCCTCTGATTTAATTGGATATGCCCGTACAAGCCAGTGACAACCGCATTCTGCAGGCCACCTGCATAAATGTTTGGCCTGCATGAATGTAGGCAGCGACCCGAAATGCTCATCAATCGCGAATCGTCTCGGTAACCCGAATCTAAACCCGATGAAGAAAAGCCGGATCGCCTCGTAAAGATGCAAGCTGTTCCACACGCACACGCGTGATTGATCACTTTTCTTTTTTAGGCAGCAAAAGAAGAAAGAATCAACACGCTGTAGAGTAGAAGTGTCTTGCGTCCCAAGAGTACACTCGCCTCATGCACACAGTTTGTTCTTTATGCACCGTCAACCTCTGGACTCTTCATCGTCCATTGGCATCCATGCAGCTTACACGACTGGCTTGATTTCGGTGTGCCTGTGGCGTCTCTTCTAGCAGTTGCAGCCAAGTCTGTCTTGTGTAGAAGATGCGAGATGTCAACGAGGCCAAGAGATTTTGTCTACAACAGTGTCTGACGCATACATGGACGTCTGCCCTCGTGTTGTTTCTACGACAACCCCCGTGCGTGCAGACGAATGTATCAGTTTTTTTTTTTTTTTTTTTTTTTTTTTTTTTTGTCAAAGAATATTTAGTCTCCCGTCGTGTCTGCCGTCGGCGACCGATCCGCATGCCATTGGCAATATTGGCCCGGCCGTCTTGGCGCCGGTCTGGTCTTGCCGTTGAGGCTGCCATTCCACGAAACGAGACAAACTTCATGCTCGACTTCGTCCGACGCTATCCAGAGTATGCACCACGTACAGACATGCATGCACATACATGCATATATGTTTATAAAACCTATGACGTATGCACTCCCTCTGCGAGAAACTCTTCTTCTTCTTCCTTTCTTCAATGCTTGACCGCTGTTTTACAATCTTGCTGCTCTTGAACATGGTGCGAGTGCGATGCATGAGACCTTGTCTGGGAAATGTCCACGGGGCTGAATGCAACCTCTCGTGTCAGGACGCACCTTACCCACGACCAACAAAGGAACAGACAAAGGACATCAACGAAAATAAACAATAAAACACTTGATGAAAAAACAAACACAAGCACAGAAAATCACGCCGCAAAAATAGAGTCACGGATCCACCATCTCAATCACTTGTATAGGAAAAGCCCGATGCGGGGGTCGAACCCGCAACCTTGAGATTTCGTGTACTCGTAAGAGTCTCACGCTCTACCGATTGAGCTAACCGGGCGATGGATCCGATGACTGCGGATTGGATCGGTTATTGCAAAGTAAGAGCTATGGCATTTCCGGTCTACTTTTTTCATTGTTCTTCTATAGGGCACCAATCTCAACCAAGTACCTGAAGTCGACGACGGGCCATTTCGTCGTTCTAATAAAACTTTGACTGCGTACCAGAGGTTGATTTTTTCATGTACAGACAGATGAGAGCCGTTTGCGATCGCCCACCTGATATGCCACAATGTCTTCATCAGAGTCTGCAACCTGTCAAGAAGACCGTCCAGACTTTTATGCATCCATCGTTCAGCACCCGCAGTACTCGCATTCCTATAAAGCAATATACAAAAATCCCCAGTGTCCACCCTTTATTCTCTTTGAATCATGACCATCAAGCCCATGATGCCCAGCATCACAGTCTTCAGCCACGGGTGCTCCGATAGCAGAATCGTCACGTAACCCACAAACGGAACATATCCCACTACGCTACCAATAATGTCTTCCCGCTTCAAGTAGTCCTGTCCTCGAGCATATAGGTCCGTATCATCGGCATTGTTATTATCGCCCTTGGTCAGCAGCCTGGCCTTGTCCCTGCAACGCAGTTAGCGCCGTCATTCTTCTCGAACATCCTTGTCCAAAGTGCCTTCCGACTCTGTCGCCCGGTAGGGACTCTGTTCGCAAAAAAAAAAAAGGCACATAAAAAAGAGCTTACCCAGTTCCAAATTTTCGCACGATCCGATGCACAATGGGGATATCCTTGCCCTTGATGTTATAAACAACAATCTCTCCCACGGCGGTTTCCTTTTGCAGGTTTCGATTCCAAAGTAAGAGGAGGTCACCACGCTGGAAAGCGGGCTCCATGGACCCGGACAGAACGACGACGATTGGCGACGGCGAATCGGTGATGATGGAGAGGCCCTTCCACATCTGAAAAGAAAAAGAAAAAGAAAACAATTAGCACTTGATGGATTCAAGGGTTTGACGACATATTATGCGCGAGGTGAATGAGATCTGGAAATTGGTCTATACCATGAATGCAGTGGACAATACCAGCGCAAAGTTCATCAGCTGCGCGGCAGCTTGCCGTGGGTTGCCAAGGCCAGATAGCATGACTGCGGTTGCGAATCAGACCACACAAAGATGATAAGGAGGAAACGAGAGGCGCGGCTGAGGACGGGATCGGAGGGCAGCTGGCAGCTACGTCGTGCCGCCGGAGATTGAAGTTGTCTTCCAAGTTGTCTCTACACGACCCAGGACAGCCTGGCTTGTTTGGAGAACTGGACATGGTGGCTCTCGCCAGGAGCGCGCACTGACCAATAAGCGTTTGGCAGTCACCAGCCGCCACGCCGTTGAGATGCAGCAGCCACATTTGCTGCTCCACCCAGGACACAGCCACACGCGAGGCAACCGCCCTGCGCCAGTTGCATCATGCTTACAAGTTTTAAATTTGTGATGTCATGGAACTGTCGACGCATCGCTCGTCAATGACATGTGTCGCGTGCACCGCAATGGGGCCCGAGCATCAAATGCTTAGCATTTAAGAACTTCTGGGTCCGGATTCTGTGGAAGCCATCTGTACCAAATTCTCTGCCGCACTGAGACACAAGCAGCACGACTTTCTGATTTGCTTGACTCACCAAGCATCCGTACTTGCCTAACTTGGGTCCCTAGTCCTTGGACATTCTTGTCACCCTGCGTCAACATGTCAGACTCTACTTCCCAGCAGCCTGGTCTTGTCCAGGGACACGTGCAATACGTCAAAGGAGTTGCAGAAGTAAGTGCGAGGGTTATAAAAAAAAAAAAAAACGCATTCTGTTTCTCTCTAACTCGACAATCATTAGGCCAAGATTGGAGATTTGACCGGATCTACTCCATGGAAGTCATCGGGAGAGCAAGATAAAGCAACGGGTCTGTCTGCCATGAAAGAAGCAGGAGAGAAAAGGGATGCATCCACTCAAGGCCACGGAAAGGTCGAGGAGCTGGCTGGCAAGTTGACTGGATGCGACGGTATGAAGCAAGAAGGTGCCGCGAGCACAAAAAAAGACTGAAGATGGCGGAATCGACGAAACACATATCGATCATTTGTACTAGTACTAGCACATGATTGCTTTGCCAGTCTTCAACTACACCTGCTCTCCAAGACAACAAGAAAAAAAAAAGCATAAACTATCGCGCTGTACTCAATGTTATGCAGTGCGTCTCGGATGGTATCCGCGCTCTTGCACTTTCTTGCTCTGGCGTTGACAAGAGTTGCCATCCGAGGCTTCCTTTGGAACAGGCTGACGACACCCATGCCTAGCTCCTTCCGAATGTTGAAAATTGCAAAGAAGCAACACTGAACCGTGTACATAATAGGAAGGATGCTTTCTTTCCCGGATAACAGACCTCAGGTGGCAGAAAACACAATCGTTCCATGAGATCTTTTTTCACTCATGCTTCGCAACTTGTATACTCCTACAGCCTCAGAGTTTCTGCATCGCCACGTATACAACGCGTCCATATTCAATTTTGCTTGTCAGCTTGACGCCTGCTGGCTGGCCTTTGGTCGACTGAACATTCGCAACCTCGATTTTTTTTTTTTTTTTTTTTGACATACTTGAATAGAACCACCAATCTTATAGTCGTCGATCAACATGTCGTCTACTCCTCTCCTTAGCGGGTCCGGGTCCAATCTGCCTGCCCCCGTCATTCTGCAAGACCATGTCAGTAACGGCACTCTTTTTTGTTTTCCATGGCTGCGGCTTACATGACAGCAATAGCCTGTTTTCCTTCGAGCGAGTCACTCCCCATGGCGTCGGATTGACCAGAAAGCATTGGTCATCCTTCGTGGTGTTGTTGTCAGCTATCTCACGGCCGCTGCAAGCATGACAGGCCACTATAAAATAACGCAGGAGACAGGAAAGAGTGGGTTAAGCAACCTCTTCGATTTTTCCGTGATCTCCTCGGTGATGGTTTTTGTGTACCATCTCATGACATTCGTGAGCGACATCCGTTGAAAGACTCATGATACGAAGATGGGACGGTTTTTTTAGGCTGACGGACCTTGCAGTCATGGACATACACCCACTTGTACGTCCCAGAGCCGGCCGAGGTAGAAGGAAGGGTTAAGCGGTTTATCACCAAAATGTTTTCTCTCCCTCGAAACATGGGCAGTCAGCGAAAGCAATTCTACTTCAACCTCTTCTACAGCGCTGCCACGGTGTTTTCTTTCATGAACTCCACCATTTACTGGTTCATCACACGACAGCATGACGCTGGTGCTGCGGCTGTAGCCAACGCTGTTGATTCCGCTGTCAAGGTCACATCGGTGACAGCAGCCGTCAACATGCCCAGTACACCAAGTTTGTTGGCACCATGTAATTATTTTTTTAATGAGCATGGCTGACATTTATCAAGTCAGCGATCTTTTGGGTGAGGGCTGGTTCAAGGCTTTCGTTCTCATCAACCTCCACGCGGCCAATTCTTTCCTCATGGTGGTGGAAATGCTTTGCTTCAACAGCATCAAGCGCCCCTTGGTATGGCACCTTGCTCTTACATTTCTACTTAAAGAAAGAAAGAAAGAAAAGAAAAGAAAAGAAAAGAAAAGAAAAGAAAAGAAAAGAAAAGAAAAGAAAAGAAAAGAAAAGAAAAGAAAAGAAAAGAAAAGAA